AGGGGGGTGGCTGTTCCTGATCACCGGTTATTGCTTTTGGTTTGGGTTTTGTTTATATTTCCCCTCCCGGATGAAAAAAAAAATGTAGTAATTTGACAATCTCATCAAAACCCAGGAACTGCAGGAAATTGGTTGGGGGGCGGATGGGGGGGTGTGGAGTTGAGATTGCATGGGAAATAACCGGAATTTGAAAAGCCAGGCTTAAACTCTGGCAGCTTTTGAAACACGTGGAATATTTAGAGCAGTATGCCTTGCCTCTGCTGGCTTGCCATGTAGGGGAGGGTTTACAAAGCAGAGCCTGTGCGTGACAGCGATGAAGGAAATTCTCTTTTAAAAAAAAAAAAAAAAAAAAAAAGAGGAAAAAGAATGGAAGAAAAGGCGAGCGAGGGGGAGTATCACGATTATAATCCCAGCGTGGAAAAAGGATGGCAACCCAGAGCAGTGCCGCTGTAAACCCCCTCAGCGATCATTTCTAGGCGAGGGATGGGGTGCTCCAGCCTGGAAGGCATCTGCATTGCCCAGGAGAAAGAAACGCCGTGCCTTACCTGGACCTCCTCCATCCCCGGGTGTCCGATGCCGTGCAGGGAAAGGCTGTCCCCCATGCCGGAGTCAAGGCCATGGTGAGCTGAGTGCAGAAGGACATCTGGCCTCCGAACAGAGTGGTAGTCCCGCCTGGGGTCCAGTCCCGAGAGCTGGGGCAGGGCGGCCCGAGGCTGTGGCAGCAGTGACCCGGTCTCTGATCCCACCTCTTGCCTCTGCCTCTGTCCCCAGGGGTGCTGCTGGGGTTGATGCAAGGGGTTTAGGGAGTAGGGGTCATTGACATGGGAGTAAGGGTCCTGGCTTTGGTGGTAAGGAAGAGGCTGGTAGGGGGGTGGGAAATAAGGCGGCTGGAAATCCGAGGATGGGGTGTGAGAGAGCGGAGGAGCGCTGGAGTAGGGTCCCTGGGAGACGGATCCCAGCTGGGACAGCCTGGAACTGTGGCTGGGCACTCCATCATGCCGGTCCTACGAGCGGAAGGAAATAAAAACAACAAAAAAAAAGACTTTTTAGGGGAAAAAAAAAAAAAGAAGTAAAAGGAGCACTAACCCACCCCCAGCTAAAATAAAATAAAAATGTAACCGGTCATAAACTAGGGTTCAGATGTGCCCCCCTCTCCCGCCGCGGATTAGAAATGTTCCAACGTTTCACACCCGGATCGTGTCTATTCCCAGTAACTATCAAGAAGGGGAAGGGCGAGTGTGTGTAGGGGAGACCCCCCCCCGCCCCCCCCCCCCCCCAAAACCGAAGGTTAAGAAATAATAATAATAAAAAAAAAAGAACCCCCAAACCACCCATGCCTCCAAACAACCGACCCCTTGTCCTGCCTAAAGTTTCCAAACATCTGTTTATTCCCTCTGCTCAAGTCCCGAGACTCAAAAATCACCAACCCATCTTCACGTGGAAAAGGAAAGTGGCACTTCTCGGAGGTAAGAAGTTGTCCGAGAAAGGACTTGGAAAAAAAAAAAACCAAAACCAAAAAACACGGGGGCTCTTTGTATAAAGTCAGTCCACCCCTAAAACAAAACAAAAAAAAATAAAAAAATCAAATAAAGTCAAAAAGAAACATCGGTATGGAACAAATCCAGTCGCTAAGATTTCTGCAGCAACTTCCAGTGTCTTTTGTCTCCTTTTCCAATATATTCCGGAGAATGGGGTGGGGGTTAATTGTAATGAAAAGTCTTTGGGGTGTGTGTGGGGACACGGGGAGGGGGGGAGTGTGTGGAGGCTTCAGAGAAGAGGTGGGAGAGGAGTTTTGTCCAACTCCGTCGCGCTGAAGCTGCGAGGTTAAAGTAAACAAGAAAAATATCTGTTCCACAAAGTGGAGCTCAAACCCCCACAAGCAATGGCACACATGTTTAAGAAA